CCGTCGGTCTTAGGGGCTCCTGAGGCTCTCAGGAATATAATATAAGTACCTGCAGGAGTCTTGCACTGGATTCTCTTGACTTGTTACCTCAACATTTCTTATTTCAGTCCCATGACAGGTTCACTTTATAAGAGTCGTGACTGTGTCTTTAGATCGTAAGCTCCTCGGAGCAGGCAGCAATGTTAGAGGTCAGACCTTCTCTGTAAAGCACTATGATCATTTGTTTGCACTATAGACATGAGGAGTCTGTATATAAATGCCGATACTGAGTCTGTGTACAATCAGATGACGCAATAAATGTGTAGAAACTGCCGCAGTACATAAGAGGAATGAGAAGGGGGGGAGGGGGGGTTATATTTTTATTATTATGTATATTTATATACAAATATTTGATCTAGCTCTCTATGGCACTTGGTCTGGAGGTCTATGGCATTTGGTCTGATTGTCCATGGCGGTCTATAGCACTTGATCTGGAGACATATAGTGCTTGGTCTGGTGGTCTATGGCATTAGGTCTGATGGTCTATGGCATTCGGTCTGATGGTCTATGGCATTCGGTCTGATGGTCTATGGCATTTGGTTTGGCGGTCTGTGGTGGTCTATAGCGCTTGGTTTGAAGATCTACAATGGTTGGTCTGGTAGCCTATAGAGTTTGGTATGATGGTCTATGGTGCTTGGTCTGGTGGTCTACAACGTTTGGTCTAATGGTCTATGGTGTTTGATCTGGCAGTCTGTGGTGGTCTATAGCGCTTGGTCTAAACATTTATGGTCTGGTGGTCTATGGCGTTTGGTATGGTGGTCTATAGCATTTGATTTGAAGGGCTATGGCATTTGGTCTGGTGGTCTATGGTGCTTGGTCTGGCGGTCCATGGGGCTTGGTCTGGCGGTCTGTGGTGCTTGGTCTGGCGGTCTGTGGTGCTTGGTCTGGTGCTCTATGGCATTTGGTCTGGCGGTCTGTGGTGCTTGGTCTGGCGGTCCATGGGGCTTGGTCTGGCGGTCCATGGGGCTTGGTCTGGCGGTCTCTGGTGCTTGGTCTGGCGGTCTCTGGTGCTTGGTCTGGCGGTCTCTGGTGCTTGGTCTAGCGGTCTCTGGTGCTTGGTCTGGCGGTCTCTGGTGCTTGGTCTAGCTCTAAAATCATACGCAATCACAGCAGGTCATCCCATGTTCTGGGAATGTCATTTCAGGCTTGCGAGGAATTCCAAGAGGCCCCGATGCCAGGTGTCTGGGTCATCCAGGTAACAAGCGTGCCCCGCCCCTTTCATGCAAAACACCTTGTGGTTGGTCAGATTCTTCAGGTTCTGCAGGGAGACCTCCCCCAGTTGCTCATCTCCATCCCCGTAAACGATCAGCGTGCAAACCTATTAGACAACAGAGTGTTACTTGCGAGGCATCATAGGGGAGAAGCATAGAGCCGGTCACTGCTGAGCTTCCTCTGAAAATGCTAATTCCCTGGCTGGCTGGGCCTCAGTACTTCCCAAATCACTGACCCAGGAAAAAGCATGCGGCAAGCAAAGTCAGAATTCCTGATCTTCATACTTGTTGTGGGTCAGCGGATCAGAGAAGCCAATGGATCAATATAACGTAGCATTGAACATTCCCTGACCTCTCCCTGACTGCTGGAGGTGCAAAAAGATGATTTTTGGCTTCTAAATCCCATCATCACCCAGACATGCAACGGTTAATAAATATGGAACTATTAAGCTGTCAGTTAAGAACTGGCGGGGGAGGGGGCGGGTACAGCTGGCTCTGCCTCTAGATAGGCCGAGCCAGCTGTCACTCACGCAGGTGGGCGGATCTCGGCATAATTGGCGGGATCCGCTCCGGCGTCTCAGTATACCGCGAGCAGCAGCTCCCTATATACTGAGCTTAGGGTGACGGGAGGACGCTAGTTTGTGTCCTCCCGTTACCCTAAGGAGAACTATGGGGAAAAGCCCTGACCCCATAGTTCTCCTTTAAAGATCCACTGTTCAGATCTCAGTGTTTGGGTGACAGGTTCTCTTTACCTGAACGCGGCCATAGTCCTGAGCGGAGAACTTGTCTGTGCAGATGGGTGCGACGGGCACGTAGGCTGCGATGCTCTGCGGATTCTGGAGGAGGAGGGGCAGAGAGTACATGCCGCTGAGGGAGGGGCTTATTATCACCGCAGGGGCCAAATTCAGAGAGTCCAGCAGTTCCTGCAAGAAGGCGGCCGGGGCCGGTTCTGCCAGGGGACACGGGGCCACTGCATCTTTGGAGCGGCCCAATCCTGTACAGAGATGACATCATATAAGATCCGAGTGTACACAACAGTCACACACTATTATTATACATGGATATAGCTCTGACATATACCGCAGCG